TTGCTCAATATATGATAGCGTAAAAATGTTATCAAGCTTTTATATGCATTTCACTTTACAGAAGTAGCCCAGAACCTGACCTGCTGTTTAAGCAGGGCCCTCCTGTATATATTTATATGTGTGTGACAAGGCACTTTGCCTGTTTGTGTTAGTTACCATTTTGTCCTAGGCACATGTCGATTAGATACTAGGCCTGTTGTATATGCGTGCATGCATGTATGTGTGTGTGTGTGTGTACATACATAGTGGATAGCAAATCAGAATCATTATAAGAACACACAGTGGCACTAACTTTTATTAGTGACAGGCTGAAGATGGGGCCATGTGGGAGAATAGGGTATGGGTTACTCGATGGGGGGGGGGGGTTAGAAGGGGCAGTTATATCTACTGGCTTATGATGACCCCTATGGTTTTAACATTTCCCCTTAAGTGTAATAATACTGGCTGTTGTCCACTGCAGGAAGACTTTTTCTCATACATATAGATTCCTCTCTGCCACCCATCCCCATTCTTATCTCTCACTTCCTGTCTCTCATGCTTTGTTGTCTTGTTTCATTTAGTTTGTATCTGACCCGTGTGTTATCATCATGTTTTCCGGTATTTTGTCACTACAGCTTTTTTATTCCTTTCCTGCTTTTTGGAACCACAATGTGCAGTTTCTGTCCCTCTCATCCCATCCTACACACACACACACACACACACACAGTGTGTGTGTGTGTGTGTGTGTATGTATATATATATATGAAGACACCTGCAAAATTTATGAAATAGCTAATGATCTAAAATACCCAAGAAACTTTATTGATAAATCCTTTAAAAAAGAAATACTATTTACAGTTCAAAAAGGGACAACCAACCTTATTCAACTAAAAATATGTTGGTTCTCCCTTACCATGAAAAAACTTGGTTGATATGCCTCTCTACTTAAGAATTTTAATATCAAAGTTGTATTTAAAAATCTTGACACAGAAAACTTTTGATAAAACATGGGCGTGTCTATAAGATTCCTTGTCAAGCATGTGATAAAGTTTACTACGGTCAAACTGGTAAAAGTCTTGAACTAAGTTAAAACAACATAAATATAGCATTAGAAGTGGACAAGATTCTAATGCTCTGTTTACTCATGTGAGAAATTTTAACCATCCAGTTGAGAAAGTTATAGTAAGCAAGTCCATAGTCGACAGGAATATAATAGAATCATGTTTTATAAAAAGTAGTTTTGAAAATAATATATTTCTTTTTTTCTTTCTTATGGTCTTAACTTGGATTCATTTATAATAAAATTTGGAAAGAATTTAAGGTACATTAGACAAATTTTTGGGTAGAATATAAGTTGTGTTTTACGGATCACTGACTACCTACCTACATCATAAAAAGTCAGGTGTTGTTAGGGGTGGCAGCGAGGTGCAGTCTCGTCTTTATAATGTCCTATTAACCTTTATTTTTATAGTTCCTTGATAATGTGAGAAGTCACAAAAGTGGGTTCAATCCCGCCCATGGTATGATTTGTTGCAATCGTTCATTTACGATTTCGTGGTCATGGTGGTTCTGTGTGTGTATACGTATATATTTTATAATATATATATTTTATATATATATATATATTATATATATATATATATTTTATATATATATATATTGTAACCACAGACGAGTGGTTTTTGATCAATAATCAACACTGCGCTAAACCAAGGATTTGACCCATGTTGTACTGGCCTGCCTCATGGTAAAACGAGAACCACATGATGCTTTTAAACCACAGGGTAGGGTTGGGTGGTCCTGTGGTTTAAAGGGTCATGTGGTTCTCGCTTACGATGAGGCAGGCCAGTACAACTGGGTTCAAATCCTTGGCTAGTGCAGTGTTGTTATTGATATAACATGTATGTATATGTATATATATAAATTATATATACACTGCCATATAGGTAAAACTGGTCAGTTACAAGAGCTCATTAAAAACTTAGTCCTTTCTAAAATTTTATCTTACATGTTTTAAAAATATATTTTTCATACATGTTAATGTAAAAATTAATAATTTTGTACCAAAAGAACCTTAGAAAACTTACCTAACCTTATTATAAGCACAATTTAATTTATCCTAATCCAACTAAATATGTTTTAGATAAGTTTACAATACTTTAATAAAACAAACACAGTGAAATATTTTTCATTAGATTCAGAAAGATTTATTGGAAAATTATTGCATACAAAAAATTTTCAAAATTGCCTTATTCGGCAAGAGCATTACTATTTAAAGCCAAAATCGCAAGTTTTACCTATTCGGCACATCATATATATACAGTGGAACCTCTGGTCACAAATGCTTCTGATCATGAACAAATTATTCAAAAAATTTGCCAAATTTTTGCATCTGATCACGAACACATAATCGGGTGCTGAACAAATACAGCCCCTGCCAATTTTCAATTCCACGAAAGATTGGATATCAGATTAGAGGGAGAGAGAATGGAGGTGAATGTATTTATATATTTAAAGGGGGGGATGTGTCAGCAGATGGGTCTATGAAAAATGAGGTAAATCATAGAATTGATGAGGGAAAAAAGGGGAGTGGGCACTGAGGAGTCTGTGGAGACGAAGAACTTTCTCCATGGAAGCAAAGAGGGAATGTATGAGAGTATAGTTATACCAGTGCTTTATATGGGTGTGAAGCATGGGTGGGAATGTTGTAATGAGGAGAAGGCTGGAGGCAGTGGAGAGTCATGTCCGAGGGCAATGTTTGGAGTGAATATAATGCAGAGAATTCAAAAGTTTGGAAATTAGGAGGAGGTGCAGGATTACCAAAACTATTATCCAAGGGCTGAGGAGGGGCTCTTGATGGTTTGGACATATAGAGAGGAGGGAACAAAATAAAAACGACTTTGAGAGTGTATAAAAACTGTAGTAAAGGGAAGGAGGGGTAGAGGTCAGCCTAGGAAAGGTTGGAGGGAGGGGGTAAAGGACGTTTTGTGTTACAAGGGGCTTGGACTTCTAGCAAGCATGCGTGAGCATGTTAGATAAAGAGCAAATGGAGATAAATGGTTTTTTAGGACTTGACATGCTGTTGGAGTGTGAGCAGGGTTTAATTGAAAGGATTCAGGGAAACCAGCAGGCTGGACTTGAGCCCGGGAGATGGGAAGTACAGTGCTTTCATTTAAAGGGAGGGGTTTAAATTTTCGTTTTAAAACTGTAGGCATCCCCTCTGGCAAGACAATATGGTAAAAGTTTTTCTTTTTGGGAAACCCCTCCTTGGGGGGAAATCCCCGATGTGTTAATAAAGTAAATATATTTTTACAGTTAAAACCTGATTCTTATTGAATACCGGGATTGCCTTGCATGTCAGGGTTCCACAGTAGGAACAAAAGGGTTGCCTTCCTGGTGAGGCTCGATCAGTGTCTCCCCACGGGTGATTTGCCCTATATTTTTGTTTTCCTTAGTTTTTGGAATTTCCCCCAAGTAAATGCCTACACTTTTTAAAAATATAAAGTCTTTATTTTCTTGCTAGTTAACGCAAATTTAATTTGCTTAGGGGCCCGATGTCCTTTTTCCCTATAAATTTTTTTTTCTCTGCATGCTTATCCCGGGATACTAAATGTTTCCCTCATCCTGAAGGAATTCCTTGATGCTGGTGGGGGGCTTTTGGGTCTGGGGAAGGGGTCTTGCTCCAGTTCCCGAATACAAAACCCCCCCCCCCCCTCCACGGGCCGTAAAATCCACGGGTTTAGCACTCCCATGATTATAATAATAATTCAGGGAATTGGCTCTCCCCCCAGTTCCCTAAATTTAACTTAAATACCGTATCTACGGGTTTAGCGTTTCCCCCTTTATTTAATAATAACCACTACCCTTTCTTAACAAGGTCCCCTAATAAGATTGCTTACTCTTTTTCTGCAACTTTGCAGCGCCTATTGTTGTTTCAACATAAAAGGGCCCTAGCTATCATTCAATTCCCTCTGTAGGGGTTTTTTGCTTGTCCATGATTTTTGCATAATAATATATTCAAAAATGTCCCACTCATTGCTAAACTTTGTGTTAGATTGCAAAATGCAAATTTCAAAAGAGTTCCAATGTTAAAATGGTTGTCATGTTAAAACAGAAACCCCTTGATGAAACCAACTGAAAAGTAAAGGTTAAATTAATCCCTGGCTTTACAGTGAAAAAATTTATTGATCCATTTTATGAAACCAACTTACATACCGTAACGTGCGCCTGTACGCGGGAGCGGGAAATCACGGTCACGGTAGGCAAGGTCGGGGGCAGTTGACTAGACCCAGGGCCAGCTTACAGAGCGAGATATGGCCCTCTGATCATGCCCAAAGCTTTAAGGCTATACACTGGAACTTTCAAACGGAAAAAAAAAAAAATCAGTAGTTACATTGGGCCCAAAAGGTGTGAAAAAAAGTGGAGTCCTCAATTACTTAAGACCTGGAATGCAGAAGGATGGAAGGCCCCGCCTTCCTCCACATTTGTACAAACAGCCTCATTCTCCCGGGCTATTTGTTTTTTTTGGCAACAAAAAGGGTTTTGTTGGGCCTGGGACGCGGCTAATAAAATAGAATTTTTATCAACATCATTAATAATTTAATACCCGTAATGATTGACAAATGGTCTTATAGTATAAAATTTAAAACAAAGGAACTATTCACAAATGAATGTACATAGATGGGTGTAGATTGAGTGAGATTAACTCAACTGTAGCTTGAATTTTTATTTTATAAACAAGGGGGGGAAACGCAAACCCGGAGGATTTTAAAAGCGCCCGGGGGGGGGGGGGGGGGTGGGGAAAGGATTCAGGGTTAATTCGGGGGTGTGCTCTGAGACCTTTACATAACTATCTCTGTTACCCCTTACACTGACACATTATTTTCATGTGAGCACCCCAGTGAGGGGTCACTTTTTGTAAAATTTTTATTTTTTTTATACTGTGTGTATGTGTGGTGTATATTATGTCATCTTTTTTTTGGGTTAAGTTTTTAACTACAAAAATTATATGAACATTGAAATTTAAACTAAATTTTGGCTTATCCAAGATCTGCAAATATCCAGGTAATTATACCAATTTTAGCAACATTAGGCATGTTTTGGTGTAGAATTGAAAATTTATATACCAAGTTGATTTTCAAAATATATCTATCAGCAAAAGAGAAAAAAAAAAAATCTCCAAAAAATATATTTTTTGTTTTAGGTTAGCTTGACCAACTGCCTAAAAAGAACATGTACACTTTCTAACATGTCCCCTTTCCCATCCCTCACTGAGTCTCTATTGCCAGAGGTGCCAAATCAAGCTCAATTTATAAGATTGATAGTCTGAAAAATTACACTGAAAAATAGGCGTATTCAAGATTTTGCAAAAATCCTTGTCTGCACTCACTTCGTAATATGTACCTAAAAGCTCAAAACATGGAAATACATAGAGGATCATTAGTCCATAGCTCTTAGAAAAATTATATCCTTTTATAAATAAGGAGCAGTGTCACTAAAATCTTGGCCATCTCCAACTACATAAAATTATTGATATAGTCAGCTGCTGTGGCAATGCCAACATGATTAAAACTTTATGGAACTTTCCCAATCAAAACTTAAAACGAAAATAAAATGTAGTATATGTAAGTGAATGTTGGTGATGAAATGATTTATGAATATACTGTGGATTGCGTAGATCACTGGGACACCCAGGATGAACCAAATTTTGGAAACAGCTACTTATGAGCACAGAGGCTTCCTCATGTCAAGTTCTGCAAGCATGGTGGAGCTTTATTCTAGTCATCAGGAATCATTGGCACACTCAGCCTTCCAGCCACACCCTAAGCATCCTGGTGATATCCATGAATCAGAGGTCAGGTAATATGATACTCTTTTTGATGTTATGAGCTACAGTCATTCTGTAAACCATGAGGTGTATGTAGGTTAATGATAAAAAAATAAAAAAAATTTCATCTCCACCATGCAAGCAAAATATGCTCAAAAAGCTGAGAGGTCCGCAAAACACCGAGACAACACACACATGGCTTTCTTCTCTGCGCACACACTCACGCATGCACATGGCAGTAACAGAATGCACACACAATCACACACGCAGTTTCGTACACATAGAAATATCACATGAAAACTTGAAACATCTTAAAGTTTTTTGCACATATGAAATGATACATACGGTAACAGAGCAGCGACATGTTAATGCACTCAGTTTATAAACCTGGACAAACAGAAGCTTATCGAGAGTAATGATTGCTATGCTTTTAAATGCAGGGAATATGGATGATCATCTGTACAGCATTCAAGGAGTTCTAAGTTGTAAAATAGTTTCTTTCTCCTTGTTAAAGTCTATGGAAAAAATCCATTAATATCCTGAATAATTCTGATATAGTTTCCTTTGGGAACTGAATGCCAATTGTGACATTCCTTCACATAATTTTAGATATTCAAGTAGCAATAACAGCAAATTTTGAATTACAGTACAGTATCACTAAACCTCCAACACTGGACTCTTTTTGTGGCGGCTTTTTGAGCGGAGTCCTGTCTTGTAAACAGCAGAGTCTTGTGCTGGAGTCACGTGCAATCTTGATGGAAGACGGAAGAGCAAAGGTCAAACGAGTGTTCAGGGCAGGACTGGCAATTAAAAAAGTGACACTAAACACAAGATGCTGTTTTCTGACACACTGTGTGAGCACCACTTAAGTGCTAACCATAGTTTTTGTCCAGGTAGCAGCACTCAGCTTGCAGTCTACATTGCACACATAAGAAACAGCACCAAGATAATCTCATTAAAAGACAATGACTGCAGAATGCACCTTCAGTCACAAATGAGTTTATTAGACGCCTGGGAATTTGGTACAAAATTACTGTAGTGCATAATGTAAAGTCTTGCTGCTTCTGTTTCTTTCTTGCTGGTGGGCAAGTCTGTTCGTTGCTTTGTTGCCTATTTTTCATGCTCACTCCGGGGCACCATTGTAGCCTTTGGTGTGAGGCACTTTGTTTTTCTGTCCTGTTGCACACACAGCAACATATTTTGAGCAGAAACACAGCACTCCTCACCACCAAGCCTCAAGTGAATCGAGGCTCTTCATATTCAAATTCATACACCTGTGGTGTCCCTCTATTTGGAAACTGTGCACTTCCATATGCCCCGGGTGAGAGTCTGGCATGTTGCGGCACACCGTACAGACCATACACACTGCCATCTACCCCCCCTTGGCCCCCATCTCCCATGGCGGCACCCTGTCCACGGTAAGTGAACATTGTTTCCAGCTGGCCATCATAAACAGCAGACTGTGGCGGAGAAACCCCGTACGGTCCCCCGGGATAAGCGTGATGTGGGGGGGACCCTCCATATGGACCTGGTGAGTAGGAGCCAGGGCCCACAGGCCCTGAAGTTGGTACCCTCTGTTGATCTGGTCCAGCCCGAGGGTCAGGGGGGGCGTCCTGTCATTCCTGATCGGTTGTCATTATGTTGTGCACTTGCTCTAGTCGATATGCCAGGCGATTCTTTGTGGAGAACTCGTCTTCCTCTAATGTGATCATCAGCTGGTCACTGTACTTGAATGCATAGTTATATAGCTCTGCTAGGGCTGCTAGGCTGTTGAACTCTGTGGTGTGCATCTGAAAAAAGTGATAAAAAGAAATTAGATTTTCCTCATCTGATGTCCACTCTCATAACATACTGTACTTAAAAGCAAATCAATTGACTTCGAGTATATATATATATATATATAAAAAAAAAAAAAAATTGTACAAATGTCTACAAATAACTAGTGTTTATTAGGATAAATCATGGTAGCCAACATACTAAATAATGAATGTAAAAAATCTACATAATAGTGTGACTGGGGTCACAGCAAGCTCATCTGAATGGCTGTGTATTAACTGTTGACGTAATACATCATGCTAAAATGTCAACGCTGGCCCACCTTCATGTCCTGGTTAACATAGCTAACATTCCTTACATCTGATGAATGGGATGACAAGGAGCAATTAAAGAGGAATTTGGGAATCCAAAACACTAGGTAGAACTGCTGGCTCATGTCATACCACAGCTGAGGCATACTTGGCGAGATATTTGTCACACCACAGTATTTTGAAAGAAAATATCTAGTAATAATAATATAATATCTTTTATTTACTACAAGTACATGATATACAGCCCTAGCCGACATCAATGATATACCAACATATAGAAAACTGCTTGTTATGCAGAGTATTTCGAACAAATCAGGTCAGTTTTGTCCCAGGATGTGACTCACCAGTCGATTAACTCCCAGGTATCCATTTTACTGATGGATGAACATAGACAACCGGTGTTAAGGAACACACCCAATGTCTCTACCCTTGCTGTATGAAGTGAGAGCTTTAGCCACCAGGCCATGGGGCACTGTGGCCCGGTGGTACTAATTTGCATATACAAAACAGTTTAGGGATATTTTTTGTTGTAGCATTAATGCAATCTTAAATTATCTCAATAATTTTTATACAGCATAGCAACTACTGCACTTCCCAATATCTTTCCTAACACTTTTGATCTACAGTCTTTTAAAATAAAGTCTACAAATATACATATATCCAATAGCAATAGCCAATATTCTCCATCTCCAATTTTGCATTAGTGATTTTGAAAATTCTCTTCTTCTTCTATGACCTATTCTTAAAAATAATAATAAAAGGATGAAAAATTCTTAGCTCTAGTTCATAAAAAAAAAAAAAAAAAAACTTGAATAACCCGAAGGTGTCCACCTATTTTACTACATGGCTGTGGTATGAGTGATAAAATGTCTTGACTGGTGATATAATGCTGGGCTGTGCCTTTGAGCCACATCCACTACTCTCTCCTTCCTAAATCCTCCCTGCTCCTCTGTCTTATCCTTAATTCTTTCAATAGTAACTAACACACACTTTACCTGGTATACTTACTAGGCTTGTTTCCTTGTAATTCTTATTCTCCTCTCGTCTCCTTTTTCCCTCATACAAGGGAATGCTCTCACACACACACACACACACACACACACACTGCCAATCCTTTAGAACCCTCCCTTCTTTCAGGCATATATTGAACATGCCAACCACTCCAACGTTATATTCCCACCTACTTCTAACATTCGTCTTTTTTTTTTTTTATTATTATCACACTGGCCGATTCCCACCAAGGCAGGGTGGCCCGAAAAAGAAAAACTTTCACCATCATTCACTCCATCACTGTCTTGCCAGAAGGGTGCTTTACACTACAGTTTTTAAACTGCAACATTAACACCCCTCCTTCAGAGTGCAGGCACTGTACTTCCCATCTCCAGGACTCAAGTCCGGCCTGCCGGTTTCCCTGAATCCCTTCATAAATGTTACTTTGCTCACACTCCAACATTCGTCTTATCCTCATTTATTCCTGCCACTTTACCTAACTTTCAGTCTGCCCATTGCTGCACAACTCAGCCTCTTTTTTTATTCTTAATTGGTAAGTCCATCTGCTCTCCTGGCCTCTTCACATCATTGATCTCTCTCTCCAAAACAGCTTTTTATTCTCAGCAAAATTTGCTGATATGGGCTTGCCCATTCTCTCGCTGGCTCATCCTTTGCACTCCCACACCACTCTGCTTTCAATATCATTTTTTTACACAATAAAAAGAGTCTTGCATGCTAAATTTTTCCATTTACCACCCTCTCTTCTTCATTGTTCCACCTCTTCCCATTCTATACCCACAAACCTCTGCTGCACATTGGCAGCACAGTCTTGGATTTACCCTATACTACTCACTGCCTGCACTTTCTATAGCCCACCATTCCTAAAGCTGCTTATATCTTTGAAACTTTTTCCTTCCTTAACCCTTTCAAGGTCAGTCCCATTGTTCTACTGCTTTGAAGCCTGGGTCAGTTCCATAGTACTACTCCATGAGCTTGGCTCTCTCAGATAAGCTGTGAGGAGCAACTTTGGGCCTAGATACGAGAGAATGGGTCTGTGCAGTAAGTGTACACCATATAACAAAAATCCTGCAGCACGCAGTGCATAATGGGGAAAAAACTGGCAGTGTTTTTGGGTTAAAACAGCAACTTCGTGGTGTATTTTCGTATGGTTTTTATGTTTGTATTTTCAGTTTCTTGGTCTCATTTGATAGAATGGAAGAAATATTACAGAAATAGACCTGATTTTGATTGGTTTCAGCTTGAAAATGAGCTCAAAGCAGTGGAAATTTTTTATTTTTGCCGATATTCCAGAGTACACGAGTTATGTTACTCATCTATGTCCAAATGGTCAGTCTAATACGTGTTCAGAAATGCACTGACAGTGTTTATACAATTATTACAATAATGCAGTAGACTGCATAACAGTGAAGCCTTTATTTTTTATGTGAATAAAATTCAAAATAGAAAACAAGGCTGAGGAAGGGTTGTTGAGGTGGTTCGGACATGTAGAGAGAATGGAGCGAAACAGAATGACTTCAAGAGTGTATCAGTCTGTAGTGGAAGGAAGGGGGTTTAGGGGTCGGCCTAGGAAAGGTTGGAGAGAGGGGGTAAAGGAGGTTTTGTGTGCGAGGGGCTTGGACTTCCAGCAGGCATGCGTGAGCGTGTTTGATAGGAGTGAATGGAGACAAATGGTTTTTAATACTTGACGTGCTGTTGGAGTGTGAGCAAAGTAACATTTATGAAGGGGTTCAGGGAAACCGGCAGGCCGGACTTGAGTCCTGGAGATGGGAAGTACAGTGCCTGCACTCTGAAGGAGGGGTGTTAATGTTGCAGTTTAAAAACTGTAGTGTAAAGCACCCTTCTGGCAAGACAGTGATGGAGTGAATGATGGTGAAAGTTTTTCTTTTTCGGGCCACCCTGCCTTGGTGGGAATCGGCCAGTGTGATAATAATAATAATAATAAAAAAAAAAAAAAAAAAAAAAGCATATTATAGGAGAGGCCTGAGGATGTAAGTAATGAATAGGGGAAATGTTTTTGTGCCAGGAATGTCTACACTGTTTATTCTGGACCCCAGTCTGCAATTGGTAGCTTTTGAATCTTGTTTGAAATTGGCCAAATTACCGATTTCTGATCATTTTATTGGGTGGTTGAAATAGGTACATGGACGGCTTCTTGTGCTCAACAGACAATAAAAAGAATACCAGTGAAATAGCTATGAGTTTGGTCAACTGAAAGAATGGAATTGACCAAAAATAGGGTTCAAAGTGGGTGAAATTGTCGATGCTTAAACATAGCCAAGATTGCTAACTTTTCAATAGCGTAATTCTGTAAGTTTTCCATCAAATTTCATACTTTTGATTTCATTATGTTTGGAAAAAGATTTATCATTTCATAAGATTTTTTTTTTTTTTAAATTCTCCAACCCTGAGACAAAGTTTCAGATGAAGGGTTCCAGCCCTGCAAGGGTTAATTCATTTATGTTCACTTCTCTTACCAACTGCTGCCAGTCTCCTACTCCATTTACCCACACTCTTACTGTAGCTACCACATAATAATGATGATCCGACATTTGTCACTCCTAAAAAACATGTACATCCAGAAATCTGCCCATTACCCTTTTGTCAATAATATATAGTCTATCAAACTGTTCTCAGTGCACCCTATATTTTATCTAGTATATTTTTTTATATATCCTCTTTTTCTCAAAACTTACCTGATAAACAATCTACAACTGTGACACCCACTTTATCATTAAGGTCCCCATAACAAAAATTTCCCCTCACTTATCTCTATAAACATTCACTTAACATTTCCCAAAATCAATCTCTCCCTCTATTCTACACAACTCTAGCCCCCAATTACACACACACTTCTTGCATCCCACCTGTATTCTAACCTACAAAATTGTCTTTATTTTCCCACAAGTGATCATTTAATATTACTCTTTCTTCTTCCCTTTTTATTATAATCAAATAAAGCACTAAAACTGACAAGGGTCATGTAGTGCTGTGGGGAAGAAAATAGATCCAGGGCCATAAACAGCTAAGTGGAGAGGGGATCAGAGGTGAGGGAGAAAAGGGCTGTAAGAAACGCTAAGGGTTGTGTGTCAAAGTTCATATAGTAAAGCAGTTTTCTGACAAAAAATCAAAAAGTGATTGTAAGTCTAAGGCAGCGCCGTCTGCAAGAAGGGAAGATAAGGTAAGAGTGGTAGGGTGGGGAGCATCGGTGGAGGTAAATCCTGCAAGCTCGCTGGTAAAACCGGACACTCCACAAAAAATTGAAGAAACCGAAATAGGGACCCGACAAACCTCAGAGAGGGGAATAGGGTGTCACTCCATGAGATACCCGTGGGTAAGGCGAGTATAGCCGATGCGAAGATGGGAGAGTGCGGTCTCCTGAGTACGGCTATGGTGGTAAGAAGATGGCCACAAACTCAAAAGCGGTTTAATAGAGTGTAATTTTTTATGGTGCATGTCTGACCACCATTGTTGCCAATGACCGTGAAGACGGGCAGCAAAAACGACACCTTTTTTTGCTAGTTACACGGTGCAACCAGAGTTGAATACAGATGACCAATGGATGAGGGGAATCAAAATGTTTAATGGCCTGTAAAGTGCTGAGGGAATCCAAAATGATCAAAAATGCCGAAGGAGACATACACGTAATATGGAGAAGCGCTATGAGGATGGCATACAACTCGCTGGTAAAAATA